ATTGTTTTCCTCCTTTTACTCTGAGGTAGTGTGTGTCTTTCTCACTGAGGTACCTTTCATGTATGCAGCAAAATTCTGAGTCCTGTTTATGTATCCAATCTGGCAGTCTATGTCTTTTTATTGGAGAATTTAGTCCATTGATGTTAAGAGATATTAAGGAAAAATGACTGTTGCTTCCAATAATTTTTGTTATTAGACGTTTAATTAGGTTTGTGTAGCTATCTTCTTTGGGGGTTGTTGGAAGATTACTTTCTTGCTTTTTCTAGGTTGTAGTTTCCTTCCTTGTGTTGGTGTTTTCCATCAATTATCCATTGAAGTGATAGATTTGTGGGAAGTTATTGTGCAAATTTGGTTTTGTCATAGAATATCTTTGTTTCCCAATCTAGAGTGATTGAGATTTTGTTGGGTATAGTAGTTTGGGCTGGCATTTCTGTTCTCTTAGGGTCTGTATGATATCAGACCAGGATCATCTGGTTTTACAGTCTCTGGTGTAACTCTTATAAGTCTGCCTTTATATGTTACTTGACCTGTTTCCCTCCTGCTTTTAGTATTTTTTCTTTTTTTATGTGTGTGCATTTGATGTTTTGGTTATTATGTGACCAGTAGTATCCCTTTTCTGTTCTAGTCTGTTTGGAGTTCTGTAGGCTTCTTGTATGTTTATGGGCATCTCATTCTTTAGGTTAGTGAAGTTTTCCTCTATAATTTTGTTGAAGATATTTACTGGCCCTTTAAGTTGGGAATCTTCACTCTCATCTATAGCTATTGTCCTTAGGTTTGGCCTTCTCATTGTGTCCTGGATTTCAAGGATGTTTTGGGTTAGGAGCTTTTTGCACTTGGCGTTTTCTTTCAAAGTTGTGTCAATGTTTTCCATGGTATCTTCTGCACATGAGATTCTCTCTTCTATCTCTTGTATTCTATTGGTGATTCTTGCGTCTATGACTTATAATCGCTTTCCTAGGTTTTCTATCTCCAGGGTAGTCTCCCTTTGAGTGTTCTTTATTGTTTCTATTTCCATATTTAGATCCTGGATGGTTTTGTTCATTTTCTTCATCTGTTTTGTTGTGTTTTCCTGCAATTCTTTAAGGGAAGTTTGTGTTTTCTCTTTAAGTACTTCGACCTGTTTACCTGTCCTCTCCTGTACTTCTTTAAGCGACTTACTTATGTCCTTCTGAAAATCCTCTATCATCATCATGAGGAGTGATTTTAATTCTGAATCATGCTTTTCATGTGTCACAGGGTGTCCAGGGATTGCTATGGTGGAAGAACTGGGATCTGAAGACCCAAGTAACTTTGTTTTCTGTTGCTTGCGTTCTTGCGCTTGCCTTTCGCTGTCTGGTTAACTCTAGTGTTACCTGTGTTCTCTGTGTCTGACTGGAGTCTGTTATTCCAGTTACCTTGCTTCTGTCAGAACTCTTCAGAATCCAGATGTCTCTGTGATCTTGTGACCCTAAGCTCCTAGGTGGAAGAACTCTTGGAACTCAGGCCGCCTCTAGGATCCTGAAATCCTGCTGCTCTGAGTGCAGTGGTTCCTCTAGGATGGTTCAGGATATGGTGTCTTCACAGTAGCAGACCAGCCAGGTGTTCACAGGTCTGAGTGGAATGACTCCTCTAGAATGGTTCAGGGTACCTTGTCCACTGCTCTGCCTGAAGCAGCTCCTCTATGATGGCTTTGGCTAAGGTCTCTCCACAGAAGCAGAACAGCTGGATGTCTGCCCCAGCCAAAAGGACCAGGCATGTGGAGGAAGGAAAGTAGTATTTCGGAGGGGTGGGGTTTGGGTGGCTAATAGTTCCTGAGCACCCCTGGCTCCCACTTCTAACTCTGGGGATTAAAGTAGTGGGAAAGGTTTCTTCCTTATTGTTCTGAGTGCAGTGGCTCCTCTAGGATGGCTCAGCATAAGGTGTCTCCACAGAATCAGACCAGCTATGTGTCTGCCACAGTTAAAAGGCTGCCTGTCTAATCTTATTCAACAGCTGGAGAGATCATATGTCAGCACTATAGGGGTGGAGAGGTCCTTTCCCTTAAGGAGGTCAAATAAAGGTGCTAGATCTTCTGTGACAATGGAGATCCAAGACCTCATCCAAGTAATTTCTTCCAAAAGCTTTTGTAACTGTGGGAAGGTACAGGAATCTTGACTCTGAAGTTGAAGATTAACAGGGGACACAGTGTCTTAAAACAACATGGAGCTCAGGATCTTAAATGGCAGCACTTTTTGAACCATTCCAGGACCAGTCCCAAAATTATTACATTTAAGATTAAAGAGATTATCAGTAAGCCCCTGAAGGCCCAAAATCCTAGGAGCACCCAAATAATATCACTCATGCAAATCTAAAATAAAATATTGGAATCATCTAAAGAGAAAATTAGGCCCACAGAAATTAAGAAAAGGAATAGAAAAGGCAAACTTTTCACTATCATTCCCTGTATAAAAGACCGTTCACATTTTTTAGTATCTAAGAGATCATAAATCATGGTTTGTGATCAGTAGTCATAAAGGCCTCTGTCTTTCCAAGAATGAAATGGCCCAAAAGGATAGCAGTAAGGCCATCAACCACAAGCAGGCACATCTCATTGTGAGGGCCATTACGGTCCACAAGGAAAGCCAGGAGATGGTTTACCATGAGGTTGATTCTCCCACATGCCCAGTGAAAGACGAACCAAGGACTAGCTTCCAAAAGTGGGGGACTTCTTCCTTTGAGGAACCAGAAAGTCTTCCCACCTATGGCAAGAGTCATCTTAGGGCAGAGCCCTGGACAAGAGGCACAGACCAGTTATCACTAACTGGAGGCTTCCCATTATTTAATGGAGCGGGGGTTAGCACCCTGCACCCCATGGAGTATAAAATCAAACCATTGAGAACAAATTTACATTAACAGTTCCTGGACCAATTAAAGCTCTCCTTAATCTGGGGGAAAGGGATACTTGGTGAACAGTTTGTATGACGTGAGACAGCTTTTATCAAATTAGGGCACTCTTTTTTAAAATGGCCATTTTTACCACATACAAAACAGGTCCATTCCCAGCTGACTAAGCTCTGTTGGAGGGCATTAAGAGGAACAGTCATATCTTCCTTTTGGGCCGCATGTAGAACAGCAGCCAGGGCCCTAGTCTGAAATGAACAGGAGCCTACATCTCTGGTGGCCATGCTCCACCTGTGAATAAGTCTAGTTGCATAACCATACACAGGCAAGTTTGTGATCACCATTCATCCCATCCAGATCAGAGAGCAAACAAAGTGGTATGGAAGGAAGGTCACCAACAAGGAATTTCCTTTGCATGCTCTTTTGAACTCTGTCAATGAAGAAAGTAAGGTCCTCAGTAGGTTTCTGATTAATCCCTGCTACTGTGGACCCGGTGGGCCCTTCATCAAGTTTCCTCCAGGCAGCAAGGTCAATGGTTCTGACCTGATCATGGTAGGGGTTCAGAATAGCTGCTTGTTGGGCATCTGTGGAATATTGGTCAAAATCAACAAAGAGCATCCCAATGGTGATTTGTATGGCTAGTTGGGTATTCTGGGTTTTTTCCACCAGTTCGGAATTCCTCATTAAAATATGTCAGAAACTTAAGAAACATAGACTCAGGGCAGACTGCCTTAACCAATTCTTTCAGATCTCAAGGAACATATGCCCGGCAGGCCAGACCCTCAAGAATAGTCTCGGCCCAGAAGGAGTATCCCCATCCTCATTCACCAACTTCTTCAATTGTTTCGAGCTATGGGTTCCCAAGGTACAAGGCATCTGGCTGATTACTGCCAGGGTTGACATTCACTAGGTAAAGGCTCGTGGTGTACTGGTTGCCAAGCTCTTCCCTATTGTAAGTATCAGAGGTCCCTTCAGAAGTCTAAGAAAGGTTATTTGAGGGGTCTTGGGAGGCCAATTTTATTGCCTGCTTCGAGGCCAGCCAAGGGCGACTGCCAAAGAGTTCCAAAGAAGGATAAAGAGATCCCTTGGTTGAACACCCAAAAGGACTCCTCTGGTTCCACTATTTTCTTCAGATGTTTCTTCAGTAGAAAGAGGCTCCTTGGCATTTTCCTTGTTTTCAACCAGTGTGAAAAGTAACTCTTCAGAGCTAAGATGGTAGGGAGTGACCCCAGGGTTAAGGTTGACTGGGTAGAGGTGAGTGGTTACTCTTGAGTTAGGACCTCCTATGGATTAAGGCAGAGTAACAGAGGGCACAGAAGGAGAAGGAACATGGAATGGATTAGTTGGAGGATTGGGAGAAGGATACCACAGTTAGATGTAGACTGTCCCATAACTAATGGGAGTACACTTACCTGCAGATACACTGGCCCATCAGTATTCTTGCATCAAGAGCACAGGAGAAAAGTTCCTAACATGGGGCACCAGTCAGTTAGCTACTTGCCAGCAGGTCCAGGTGAAAGGAGAGAATTCCCAATCCCACCACCTCTCTCTGGGGCTGAGCAAAATAGTGAGTGACAATGTCCCAAAAGAAACACACAGGCCCAGGAGTCTTATTGAAATAGGAGCTCAACTTTATTGCTTCATTCTCTCACATATATAAACTCAAAACTAAGGTAGGGGGATTTTTGGTGGAGCAAGATGACATAGGAAGCAGGGAAGGTTAACAGAGAGTATGGGGTGAATGACGAGGAAAATGGCAAAGCTCTACATTAGCAATGGAGGGGCAGAGGCAGGGCCAAACAGGTCTTGCTGAGTCACCTGGATACAGAAGTGAGTGAAATAGGTGTCAAAACTCTAGCCAGGCTTCAGGTCTCCTGCATGGCCACAGACATTCGAGCCAGGCTCCTGTTTGGCCACAAGGCTGAAACCAGGGCATAATGAGACCCAAAACTTTGAAGTTATATCATCAAACTTACCTTGACCATGATTAACCAATTACTATGTATGCCCGTATTTACCTGTTCCTTTTAGTCTGGCTGCTCTTGTGACTCAACACTCTCAGAAGACACGCCATTAAAGGACAGTGCTACTTGCATTCAGACACAGTGAGGACTAGAATAGCAAGGAATTCTCAATAGTCCATGATGACTATGAGTGAGGCTCTAGTCCACAAAAGGAACATATTGCTTAAGTTCTGCCTGTGGAAGATGTTCTTCTCTGCATGGTCACCAACTGGACATTCTAGGTACAGTAGCCTTCCAGAAGTAGTGATACCCTTGAGGGTCAATGTCACTGACAGAAATAATATTTCCCGTGGTTGGCTGTCCTATAGCCTGCACGTGGGGGGACAGAGACACATAATCACTATGAAACCAAAGAAAAACTTGATATCCAGAAACTTCTTATTACTCACTTATAGTGAACAAGGAGATCCAATTGAAGAACAGCCTTTTGTGCAGAATGAATGCTACTACCATGGCTATGTGGATGAAGACCCAGAATCCCTGGTCATTGTTCACACCTGTTTTGGGAGTTTGCAAGGCATACTAGACATAAATGGCACAATCTATGAAATCATGCCCAAGAGCTCAACTTCAACATTTGAACATCTGGCTTACAAAATGGACAGTGAGGAGTCAGAATCAATTCCCATTAGATGCGGGTTAACCTAAGATGAAATAGCAAGGCAAATGAAGTTTCAAGAAAGAGTTGCCCCAACATTTTGGAAAATCCCACTAGACAATTGGTGGACCCACCACATGTTTATTGATTTTTATGTTGTAATAGACCATAAACGATATGTTTATAGAAAGAACAATATCACAACTTGTCTTCAAGATATGTTGGAAATACTCAATGCACTAAATGGGTATTATCTTCAAATGGATATTGATGTGATTTTAACAAAACTTCAAATTTGGAGCCAAAGAAATCTTATCAATGTAGATCAAAATATCCATAAACTCCTAGGTGACTTCTGCTATTGGAAGGCAGCCTCAATTGGCAATCAAATTAGACATGATGCCAAACACTTTTTTGTTAGACATCATTATAAATATTTAGGGATAGCTTTTACACGTGCAATTTGTTTAACTGATAATTGTGCAGTTAACAGTTTTATATCTGATAACATGTTACACATCGCATACCTTGTAGCACATGAGATGGGTCACAATTTGGGTTTTCGGCATGATGAAGAGGAATGTGTTTGTGGGATAGAAAAGAAATGCATAATGTACCCAACTCTACCACATCACCCCAAATTCAGTAACTGTAGTTTTAATTATCTGCAATCAAATAAATATCAAATATTTTGCTTATACGATACACCAGAAACTCCAGAAACACTAGTAACAACAAACCTGACCGAATGTGGGAATTACTTGGTTGAGGAAGGAGAACAGTGTGATTGTGGGAGCTCTGAATCCTGTTCAGAAGATCCATGCTGTAGTGAGGACTGTGTTCTCAAACCTGATGCTCAATGTGCTTCTGGGCTTTGTTGCCAACATTGCAAGTTCCTTCAAACAGGCTCAGTGTGTAGAAAAGAGAAAAATGAGTGTGACCTTCCAGAGTCGTGCAATGGAACTTCAATGAGTGTCCAACAGATGTGTATAAAGAAGTCGGAAGCCCTTGCAGTGGTGATGGTTATTGCCATAAGATGGAGTGTCATCATCCACTCCATCATGATGAACAGTGTCAGAAGATTTTTGGCAAGGGAAGTCGAAGTGCACATGGAATTTGCTATCTGGAAGTGAACAAACGGGGTGACCGTTTTGGTAACTGTGGTATTGATACCTATGAATACAGAGAATGTGAACATGCTGATGTACTCTGTGGGCGAATTCAGTGTGAGAATGTGACAAAACTTCCCCAAAGGAGAAACCATGAAACATTGCATTTCACTCACTTCAGTAATATCCCGTGCTGGACTATAGACTATCATTTTGGGATAACCTTACATGACATTGGAGCAGTGAATGATGGCACAGCTTGTGGTCCACAGCATTTATGTATTGACAGAAAGTGTGTCTACTTGTCGAGTCTGTCAAGTGTACCAACTCCTGTGCCTAGTGTACCAGCTCCTGTGCCTAGTGTACCAGCTCCTGTGCCTAATGTACCAGCTCCTGTGCCTAATGAACCAGTTCCTCTGCCTGATATACCAGCTCCTGTGCCTACTGTACCAGCTTCTGTGTCTAGTGGACCAGCTCCTGTGCCTAGTGGACCAGCTCCTGTGCCTAGTGGACTAGCTCCTGAGCCTTCATCTCCTTCCAATTGGAGTATGTACTTGATAGCTTTTTTAGTTATGTGTGTGCTTGGCTTAATTTCTTTGTATGTCCTATTTGAATTAAGGATATTACCTCTAAAAAAAGTGGTGCCAAACACAGAATCTGGTGATAGACATCTTACCTGAATAACAGAATGTAAAGTCTACAGACTTGCAATACCTGAAGAAGATACCACACATTACAAAAACAAAATAAAATTTAAAAAAAAAAACTTCCTTCACGTATTTCTGTAGACATTTTTTTTATTGGATATTTTATTTACATTTCATATGTTATCCCCTTACCCCATCCCCCACCCACCCGGGAACCCCCCATCCCCTTACCCCTCCTCCTTCTTCTCTGTGGATGTAACCCCCACCTACCCCCCCCACTCCCACTTCTCCACCCTCAAAATTCCCACCCCCTGGGTTGTCCAGCCTTCATGAGGTCAAGGATCTCATCTTCCACCTGTGCCCGGCAGGGCCCTCCACTCTTACATATTCAGCTGAAGCCCTGGATCCCTCCATAACTGCTCCCAGGCTGGTGGTTAGGACCCTGGGAGCTGTGGTTGGTTGGTATTGTTGCTCTCCTTATGGTGCCACAAACCCTTTCAGCTCCTTCAGTCCTCACTCTAACTCCTCCATTGAGATCCTCATGATCAGTTCAATGACTAGTTGTGAGCATCTGCCTCTGAATATGTCAGACTCTTGAAGGCCTCTGAGGAGACATCCATATCAGGCCCTTATCGGCATGTACTTCCTGACTTCCACATCAGCATCTACCTTTGGTGACTGCATATGGGGTGGATACTCAGGTGGAAAGGTCTTCAAATGGCCCCTCCTTCAGTTTCTGTCCCTCACTTTGTCTCCATGTTTGCTCCCTTGAGTATTTTGTTGCTCCTTCTAAGAAGAACTGAATCACCCCCACTTGGTCTTCCTTTTTTATGAGCTTCATGTGGCCTGTGAGTTGCATCTTGGGCATTTCAAGGTTCTGGGCTAATATCCAATAATCAGTGAGTGAATACCATGTGTGTTCATTTGTGATTGGCTTACTTCACTCAGGATGATAATTTCTAGTTCCATCCATTTACCTAGGAACCTCTCGAATTCATTGTTTTTAATAGCTGAGTAATACTCCATTGTGTAAATATACCACATTTTTTGAATCCATTCCTCAGTTGAAGGACATCTGGGTTCTTTCCAGCTCCTGGCTATTATAAATAAGGCTGCTATGAACATAGTTGAGCATATGTCCTTGTTATGTGTTCGAGCATCTTCTGGGTATATGCCTAGGAGTGGTATAGCTGGATCCTCAGGTAATGCTGTGTCCAATTTTCTGAGGAACCGCCACACTGATTTCCAAAGTGGTTGCACCATCTTGCAGTCCCACCAACAATGGAGGAGTGTTCCTCTTTCTCCACACCCTCGCCAGCATCTACTATCACCTGAGTTCTTAATCTTAGCCATTCTGACTGGTGTGAGATGGAATCTCAGAGTTGTTTTGATTTCCATTTCCCTGATGACTAAGGACATTGAACATTACTTTAGGTGCTTCTCGGCCATTCGAGTTTCTTCCACTGAAAATTCTTTGTTAAGCTCTATACCCCATTTTTTAATAGGGTAATTTGGTTGTCTGGAGTCTACTTTCTTGAGTTCTTTGTATATATTGGATATTAGCCCTCTATCAGATGTAAGATTGGTAAAGATCTTTTCCCAATTTGTTGGTTGTCGTTTTGTCCTATTGACAGTGTCCTTTGCCTTACAGAAACTTTGCAATTTTATGAAGTCCCACTTGTCAATTCTTGATCTTAGAGCATATGCCATTGGTGTTCTGTTCAGGAACTTTTCCCCTGTGCCCAAGTATTCGAGGGTCTTCCCCACCTTCTCTTCTATTAGTTTCAATGTATCTGGTTTTATGTGGAGGTCCTTTATCCACTTAGACTTGAGCTTTGTACAAGGAGATAAGAACGGATCAATTTTCATTCTTCTACATGTTGTCCTCCAGTTGAACCAGCACCATTTGTTGAAAATGCTGCCCTTTTTCCACTGGGCAGTTTTAGCTCCTTTGTCAAAGATCAAGTGACCATAGGAGTGTGGGTTCACTTCTGGGTCTTCAATTCTATTCCATTGATCTTCCTGCCTGTCTCTGTACCAATACCAGGTAGTTTTTATCACTATTGCTCTGTAGTATAGCTTGAGGTCAAGGATGGTGATTCCTCCAGAAGTTCTTTTATTGTTGAGAATAGTTTTCACTATCCTGGGTTTTTTGTTATTCCATATGAATTTGAGAATTTCCTTTTCTAACTCTGTGAAGAATTGAGTTGGGATTTTAATGGGGATTGCATTGAATCTGTAGATTGCTTTTGGCAAGATGGCCATTTTTATTATATTAATCCTGCCAATCCATGAGCATGGGAGATCTTTCCATCTTCTGAGATCTTCAATTTCTTTCTTCAGGGACTTGAAGTTCTTGTCATACAGGTCTTTCACTTGCTTGGTTAGATTCACACCAAGGTATTTCATACTATTTGCAACTATTGTGAAGGGTGTCATTTCCCTAATTTCTTTTTCAGTCTGTTTATCTTTCATGTAGAGGAAGGCTACTGATTTGTTTGAGTTGATTTTATAACCAGCCACTTTGCTGAAGTTGTTTATCAGGTTTAGGAATTCTCTGGTGGAAGTTTGGGGGTCACTTAAGTATACTATCATATCATCTGCAAATAGCGATATTTTGACTTCTTCCTTTCCTATTTGTATCCCTTTGACTTCTTTTTGTTGTCTAATTGCTCTGGCTAGGACTTCCAGTACTATATTGAATAGGTAGGGGGAGAGTGGGCAGCCTTGTCTAGTCCCTGATCTTAGTGGGATTGCTTCAAGTTTCTCTCCATTTAGCTTGATGTTGGCTACTGGTTTGCTGTAAATTGCTTTTACTATGTTTAGGTATGGGCCTTGAATTCCTGATCTTTCCAAGACTTTTATCATGAAGGGATGTTGGATTTTATCAAATGCTTTCTCGGCATCTAGTGAGATGATCATGTGGTTTTTTTTCTTTGAGTTTGTTTATATAGTGGATTACACTGATGGATTTCCGAATATTGAACCATCCCTGCATTCCTGGGATAAAACCTACTTGATCATGATGGATGATTATTTTGATGTGTTCTTGGATTAGGTTTGCTAGAATTTTATTGAGTATTTTTGCATTGATGTTCATAAGAGAGATTGGTCTGAAGTTCTCTTTCTTTGTTGGGTCTTTGTGGGGTTTGGGTATGAGTGTAATTGTAGCTTCATAGAACGAATTGTGTAGTGTTCCTTCTGTTTCTATTTTGTGGAATAGTTTGAAGAGAATTGGTATTAGGTCTTCCTTGAAGGTCTGATAAAATTCAGCACTAAAAACATCTGGTCCTGGGCTTTTTTTAGTGGGGAGACTTTTAATGACTGCTGCTATTTCCCTAGGGGTTATGGGACTATTTAGATGGTTTATCTGCTCCTGGTTTAACTTTGGGACCTGGTATCTGTCTAGGAAATTGTCCATTTCTTCCAGGTTTTCCAGTTTTGTTGAGTATAGGCCTTTGTAGTAGGATATGATGATTTTTTGAATTTCTTCAGTTTCTGTTGTTATGTCTCCCTTTTCAGTTCTGATTTTATTAATTTGGATACTGTCTCTGTGCCCTCTGGTTAATCTGGCTAACGGTTTATCTATCTTATTGATTTTCTCAAAGAACCAACTCCTGGTTTTATTGATATTTTGTATTGTTCTTTCTGTTTCTATTTGGTTGATTTCAGCCCTGAGTTTGATTATTTCCTGCCTTCCACTCCTCCTGGGTGTATTTGCTTCCTTTTGTTCTAGAGCTTTTAGTTGTGCAGTCAACTTGTTAGTGTGTGCTCTTTCCAGTTTCTTTTTGTAGGCACTTAGAGCTATGAGTTTTCCTCTTAGCACTGCCTTCATGGAGTCCCACAAGTTTTGGTATGATGTGTCCTCATTTTCATTGAATTCTAAAAAGTCTTTAATTTCGTTCTTTATTTCTTCCTTGACCAAGTCATCATTGAGTAGAGAGTTGTTCAGTTTCCATGTGCATGTGGGTTTTCCATTGGTTTTGTCATTATTAAAGACCAGTCTTATTCCGTGGTGATCTGATAAGATGCAAGGGATTATTTCAATCTTTTTGTATCTGTAGAGGCCTGTTTTGTGACCAATTATATGGTCTATTTTGGAGAAGGTACCATGAGGTGCTGAGAAAAAGGTATATTCTTTTGTTTTAGGATGAAATGTTCTATAGATGTCTGTTAAGTCCATTTGGTTCATATCTTCTGTTAATGTCAAAGTGTCTCGGTTTAGTTTCTGTTTCCATGATCTGTCCATTGCTGAGAGTGGGGTGTTGAAATCCCCCACTATTATTGTATGAGGTGTAATGTGTGTTTTGAGCTTTAGTAACGTTTCTTTTATGTATGTAGGTGCCCTTGCATTTGGAGCATAGATGTTCAGAATTGAGAGTTCACCTTGGTAGATTTTTCCTTTGATGAGTATGAAGTGTCCTTCCTTATCTTTTTTGATTAATTTTGGATGAAAGTCGATTTTATTTGATATTAGAATGGCTACTCCAGCTTGTTTCTTGGGACCATTGGCTTGGAAAATTGTTTTCCACCCTTTTATTCTGAGGTAGTGTCTGTCTTTGTCACTGAGGTGCGTTTCTTGTATGCAGCAAAATTCTGGGTCTTGTTTGTGTATCCAGTCTGATAGTCTGCGTCTTTTTATTGGGGAATTGAGACCATTGATGTTAAGAGATATTAAGGAAAAATGATTGTGGCTTCCTGTTATTTTTGCTATTAGAGGTAAAGTTATGTTTGTATAGTTATCTTCTTTTGGGGTTGTTGGAATATTACTTCCTTGCTTTTTCTAGGTTGTAGTTTTCCTCCTTGTTTTGGCGTTTTCCATCAATTATCCTTTGAAGTGCTGGGTTTGTGGGAAGATATTGTGCAAATTTGGTTTTGTCATGGAATATCTTGGTTTCACCATCTATATTGATTGAGAGTTTTGCTGGGTATAGTAATCTGGGCTGGCAATTGTGTTCTCTTAGGGTCTGTATGATGTCCGTCCATGCTCTTCTGGCTTTTATAGTCTCTGGTGAGAAGTCTGGTGTAATTCT